AATTCAGAAATTCAGAAATTCAGAAATTCAGAAATTCGGAAATTCGTGAATTCCGAAGTTCAGAAATTCAGAAATCCAGAAATTTAGAAATCCAGAAATTCAGAAATTCAGAAAATCAGANATTCAGCAATTCAGAAATTCAGAAATTCAGAAATTCAGAAATTTAGAAATCCAGAAATTCAGAAATTCAGAAATTCAGAAAATCAGAAATTCAGAAATTCAGGAATTCAGAAATTCAGAAATTCAAAAATTCAGAAATTCAGAAATTCAAAAATTTTTTTTGGATTTTGAAATTTTAGTTTTGAAAAAAATTTTTAATAAAAATAATTCGGAAATTTGAATGAAAACGATTAGAAAAATCCAAAAACCCTCTCTATTGTTAATTTCTGTCTATACCAAAAATGATGTCAGAAAATGACAGAAAAATCCAGAAAAAAAGGAGAGAAAAGTTGTGGAGAAAATTAGTTGAGTGGTTGAAAAAAAAATGTCCCATGAACAATTTTTTCAACGTGTGAGGGGACCCAAATGGACATAAAAATGGGAAAATGGGTGTCTTTTTTCTGGTTTTTTGAGATAATTAAAATTTTGAAGAGAAAATTGAAAAGTGCGCTTTTCGGGAGCAAAAAAACAGAAAAAAAAAAAAAAATTTTGAAAATTTTGAGTTTTTCGAATTTTCAGCAATTCTGATTTTACGGTTTTTTGGAAATTTAGAACTTTGGCATTTTTGAATTACTGAATTTCAAAATTTTTGAATTCCTGAATTTCAACATTTTTGAGATTCTGAAATTCTGAGATTCTGAATTTCAAAATTTTTGAATTCCTGAATTTCAACATTTTTGAGATTCTGAAATTCTGAGATTCTGAATTTCAAAATTTTTGAATTCCTGAATTTCAACATTTTTGAGATTCTGAAATTCTGAGATTCTGAATTTCTGAATTTCTGAATTTCTGAATTTCTGAATTTCTGAATTTCTGAATTTCTGAATTCCTGAAATTTTGAGTGATAAAAAACCACTTGAAATGTCTGAAATTCTTTAGAATTCCCAAGAAAAATGAGGGCGGATTGTAAAAGTAGGTGACTCAGTTTTTTGAAATTGCGGAGTTTCAGAATTTTAGGATTTCTAAATATCTGAATTTTCTAATTTCTGAACTTCGGAATTCACGAATTTCTGAATTTCTGAACTTCGGAATACACGAACTTCTGAATTACTGAACTTCGGAATTCACGAATTTCCGAATTTCTGAATTTCTGAATTTCTGAATTTTTGAATTTCTGGATTTCTGAATTTCTGAACTTCGGAATTCACGAATTTCCGAATTTCTGAATTTCTGAATTTCTGAATTTCTGAATTTCTGAATTTCTGAATTTCTGAATTTCTGAATTTCTGAATTTCTGAATTTCTGAATTTCTGAATTTCTGAATTTCTGAATTTCTGAATTTCTGAATTTCTGGATTTCTAAATTTCTGAATTTCTGAATTTCTGAATTTCTGAATTCCTGAATTTCTGAATTTCTGATTTTCTGAATTTCTGATTTTCTGAATTTCTGAATTTCTGGATTTCTAAATTTCTGAATTTCTGAATTTCTGAATTTCTGAATTTCTGAATTTCTGAATTTCTGAATTTCTGAATTTCTGAATTAATGAATTTCTGAATTTCTGAATTCCTGAATTTCAGAGTTTCAAAATTTTTGAATTTCTGAATTTCTGAATTTCTGAATTTCTGAATTTCTGAATTTCTGAATTTCAAAATTTTTGAGATTCTGATTTTCTGAATTTCTGAATTTCTGAACTTCTAAATTTCTGAGTTTCTGAATTTCTGAGTTTTCGGAATTTCGGAATTTCAAAATTTTCGAACTTTTTGGAGCTTCTCAAATTTCTAGAGAATTCCTTCCCTGACATTCAAAAATTCAGAATTTCATAATTTCAGATTTCTTCTCCATTCACAGATTTCCAGAATTTTGCAGGACTTCTAAAGTATTCAAAATTTCTGGTCTACTGAATTTCCTTTTTGAATGTCTTAATTTGTTTTGTAATTCTCTGAACTTTCAGTTTTCTTAAATCTAGAAAATCCTGAAAACAATTCCAGAGACGTCGATTCTTAAATTTTCCAAACTTTGAAAGTTAATAAATGTTGTGATTCTCAATGTCTGTCTGTGAATCCGTGTGTCCGTCGTATAATCTAAAAACATTCAAAATCGAAAAAATAATCAAATGTCAGCTTCTTAGATCCTCGAAATTCTAAAATTTTGAAATTTTCAAACTTCTCAAAAATTCCATATTTTTCCAGATCACCATTCACAATCATGCGGAGGCAAATGTCAAAATTCGGTGTCAATCGGTGAAAACCGATTTTAAGGACACATTTATGGGACCAATGGATGAAGTTTCCTTCGAGTTTTATGATATTGATCGAGGTACAGTAATCCTAAAGTAGTTAAAATGTGATTTTTTGAACAATTTTAAGCCAAGAAGGTTCAAAAAAATTGGATAAAATCTAAATTTTTTTTTTTGGATTTTTCATATTTTTCATTCAAAAAGTTTCTGATTTTTCCATTTTCATCCGCTTGAAACATTGGAAAAAATCTAAATAATGACGCTAATAAAACTAAAAATAAGGAAAAAAATAGGGAAAAAATGGGAAAATGTAGAAGGAGAAAAGGATTAAAAGCTGAGAGAAAAAAGGAGAAAATGGAGAAAAAAAAGGAGTTAATTAGAAAATAAAATAGAAGAAAAAAGATGCCCCAGAGGAGAACAAATGATGGGGGAGAGAAATGGCCCATGGACTTTTTCATTGGATTGGAAAAATGAAATTTAGGTTTCTGGGAACCAGAAAGTGTCTCGGAATTTGGAAATTCGGAAAATTAGAAATTCGTAAATTCCATACTTTTAGAATTCCTGGCCGGCCCGCCAAAGCCCGGGTACCAGGCCTGAGGAAATTTTCAAGACCCGTACCCGGTCCGGTAGGCCAGGTATCAAAAGTCCTGTATTTTTTTCGCCAAATTTTGAGTTGAGGTGGTTCGAGATACCGGAATACGGTCATATGAAATTTCGGAGACATCTGGATTTTCGAAATAAAAATAACATAAGGGTGTTTTTTTTTGAATTTTCAATACTTGTGAAATGACGGGCCCGCCGGGCCGAGACAGGCTCGGGCCGGACCTACGAAAATTAGAAAAGCCCGGCCCGGCCCGGCCAAGTTTGGTAAATTCCGAACTTCAGAAATTCAGAAATTCAGAAATTCAGAAATTTTGAAATTCAGAAATTCAGAAATTCTGAAATATTGAAATTCAGAAATTCAGATATTCCAAAACTCAGAAATTCCAAAACTCATGAATTCCTAAATTCATAAATTCCGAACTTCAGAAAATCGTGAATTCCGAAGTTCAGAAGTTCAGAAATTCAGAAATTCAGAAATTCAGAAATTCAGAAATTCAGAAATTCAGAAATTCAGAAATTCAGAAATTCAGAAATTCAGAAATTCAGAAATTCAGAAATTCAGAAATTCAGAAATTCAGAAATTCAGAAATTCAGAAATTCAGAAATTCAAAAATTTTGAAACTCTGAAATTCAGGAATTCAGAAATTCAGAAATTCATTAATTCCGAACTACGGAACTTTGTGAATTTTGAAGTTCAAAAATTCTGAAATCTTGAAATTCCGAAATTCCAAAAAAAAATTTTTTTTTCAAAGTTTTTCTAGTATACAAAGAATAATAAAGTGTAGGTGGCTGTGAAGACGGAATGGGTGCACATGTTCAAAACTTCCGGTGTATGTATACTCATAAATGTCGTGGAAAAATAAATCTTTCTTTTTTTTGGTTTTGCAAGAAAATAAATAAAAAGGGATCTTGTGATTTTTGGAAAAAAACTTTTTTCGAAAATTTTTGATGAGATCAGTCACCTGACACATGGAATGATGACCTTGGAATGGGTAAATGTGGCCTAGAAATTAAAAATCTGAAAAATTAGGTCACGATCATTTTTGAATTCGAAGAAAAAATTTTGTGACCTACATACCAGATTGGTAGACTTTTTTTAACTAGAAAAATGCCAAAAAAATTTCATGAAAACATTTTTGTCAAAATTTTTTCCCCAGACAAGGAAATGAGAGAAAACCGTGGGAAAATAAAAAACATCATTACCTCATTTTTCATTTTTTGAGCAAGTTTTTGAGCCCATAAATAAACAGACGAAAAACAAATTCTCAAGATTTTCAGATAAAATATGTACATTAATTTGAAATGTCTGGAACTTTTGATTGCTGAAAATATTATTTTCAAATATAAGGATGAAATTTTGAGTGATAAAAAACCACTGGAAATGTCTGAAATTCTTTAGAATTCCCAAGAAAAATGAGGGCGGATTGTAAAAGTAGGTGACTCAGTTTTTTGAAATTGCGGAGTTTCAGAATTTTAGGATTTCTAAATTTCTGAATTTTCTAATTTCTGAACTTCGGAATTCACGAATTTCTGAATTTCTGAACTTCGGAATACACGAACTTCTGAATTACTGAACTTCGGAATTCACGAATTTCCGAATTTCTGAATTTCTGAATTTCTGAATTTCTGAATTTCTGAATTTCTGAATTTCTGGATTTCTGAATTTCTGAATTTCTGAATTTCTGAATTTCTGAATTTCTGAATTTCTGAATTTCTGAATTTCTGAATTTCTGAATTTCTGAATTTCTGAATTTCTGAATTTCTGAATTTCTGAATTTCTGAAATTCTGAGATTCTGAATTTCAAAATTTTTGAATTCCTGAATTTCAACATTTTTGAGATTCTGAAATTCTGAGATTCTGAATTTCTGAATTTCTGAATTTCTGAATTTTGAATTTCTGAATTTCTGAATTTCTGAATTCCTGAAATTTTGAGTGATAAAAAACCACTTGAAATGTCTGAAATTCTTTAGAATTCCCAAGAAAAATGAGGGCGGATTGTAAAAGTAGGTGACTCAGTTTTTTGAAATTGCGGAGTTTCAGAATTTTAGGATTTCTAAATATCTGAATTTTCTAATTTCTGAACTTCGGAATTCACGAATTTCTGAATTTCTGAACTTCGGAATACACGAACTTCTGAATTACTGAACTTCGGAATTCACGAATTTCCGAATTTCTGAATTTCTGAATTTCTGAATTTTTGAATTTCTGAATTTCTGAACTAATGAACTTCGGAATTCACGAATTCTGAATTTCTGAATTTCTAAATTTCTGAATTTCTGAATTCCTGAATTTCTGAATTTCTGAATTTCTGAATTTTTGAATTTCTGAATTTCTGAATTCCTGAATTTCTGAATTTCTGAATTTCTGAATTTCTGAATTTCTGAATTTCTGAATTTCTGAATTTCTGAATTTCTGAATTTCTGAATTTCTGAATTGCTGAATTTCTGATTTTCTGAATTTCTGAATTTCTGGATTTCTAAATTTCTGGATTTCTGAATTTCTGAACTTCGGAATTCACGAATTTCCGAATTTCTGAATTTCTGAATTTCTGAATTTTTGAATTTCTGATTTCTGAATTCCTGAATTTCTGAATTACTGATTTTCTGAATTTCTGAATTTCTGATTTTCTGAATTTCTGAATTTCTGAATTTCTGGATTTCTAAATTTCTGAATTTCTGAATTTCTGAATTTCTGAATTGCTGAATTTCTGATTTTCTGAATTTCTGAATTTCTGGATTTCTAAATTTCTGGATTTCTGAATTTCTGAACTTCGGAATTCACGAATTTCCGAATTTCTGAATTTCTGAATTTCTGAATTTCTGAATTTCTGAATTTCTGAATTTCCGAATTTCTGAATTTCTGAATTTCTGAATTTCTGGATTTCTAAATTTCTGAATTTCTGAATTTCTGAATTTCTGGATTTCTAAATTTCTGAATTTCTGAATTTCTGAATTTCTGAATTTCTGAATTTCTGAGTTTCTGAATTTCGGAATTTCTGAATTTCTGAATTTCTGGATTTCTGAATTTCTGAATTTCCCAATTTCTGAATTTCTGAATTTCTGAATTTCTGAATCTCTGAATTTCTGAACTAATGAGCTTCGGAATTTCTGAATTCTGAATTTCTGAATTTCTAAATTTCTGAATTTCTGAATTCCTGAATTTCTGAATTTCTGAATTTCTGAATTTCTGAATTTCTGAATTTCTGGATTCCCGAATTTCTGGATTTCTGAATTTCTGAACTTCGGAATTCCCGAATTTCCGAATTTCTGAATTTCTGAATTTCTGAATTTCTGAATTTCTGAATTTCTGAATTTCTGAATTTCTGAATTTCTGAATTTCTGAATTTCTGGATTTCTAAATTTCTGAATTTCTGAATTTCTGAATTTCTGAATTCCTGAATTTCTGAATTTCTGATTTTCTGAATTTCTGATTTTCTGAATTTCTGAATTTCTGGATTTCTAAATTTCTGAATTTCTGAATTTCTGAATTTCTGGATTTCTAAATTTCTGAATTTCTGAATTTCTGAATTTCTGAATTTCTGAATTTCTGAGTTTCTGAATTTCTGAATTTCTGAATTTCTGGATTTCTGAATTTCTGAATTTCTGAATTTCTGAATTTCTGAATTTCTGAATTTCTGAATTTCTGAATTTCTGAAC